TGCCTTGCCTTGCCCTTGTCCGCCTCGCTTCGGTCAGGCTCACACACCCGCCGTGCCGTGACAGACCGACGAGGCTATCGCTGCGCAAACCCGTCATCGCCGCGATTGAGGGGTACGCCGTGGCGGGCGGGCTGGAGCTGGCGTGCTGGTGCGATATCCGCGTCGCGGCGGCCGATGCGCGGCTCGGCGTCCTCTGTCGTCTGCGCGGCGTGCCCCTCATCGACGGTGGCACCGTCCGCCTTCCTGCGCTCATTGGCGTTTCCAGAGCCATGGACCTCGTCCTGACCGGGTAAGCCTCGTTCCCCCCTCTCCCGCCCGTCGACGAGGAAGAGGCATGCTGAAAACCCGCCTTCCTATCTACTCTTCCACCTCGCCCACCACCACCACCGCCGCCGCCGCCGCGGGGGACACAGCCGTCTAATCACTGCAAAGGAAGCGCACGAAATGGGTCTAGTGTCCCACCTCAGCGCTCCGGGCGCGGCACTGGACCGCGCCATCGAACTGGCCCACCAACTCATCGCGCACCCGCAGACGTGCATGCTCAACGACCGCGCCAGCCTCCTCGCCTCGTCCCTCGGCCACTGTCCCGAGGATGCGGGAACAACGACGACAGGGGCCAACGAACACAACGTCCAGGGCAGGCTGCGCGCGGATATGGCGAGGGAGTTTGAGCTCGGTCTGCACAGCCTCGCCGCGCTCCAGAGCCAGGGCCAGATCCAGGCTTTCCTCGAAAAGCGCGGCGCTAAGATGTGAACCCCCCGCGCCCCCGCCACTCGGACCGGGTGAGAGGAGACGTGCAGCCTGCCCTTTGCGGGAGGGGAGAGGAGGATCCCATGCGTTCGTGCCCACGTGCTCGATGGCACAGAGACGGACCACCGCCGCTCGACGGCGGAAGCACAGCGCAGCCCGAGGGACTCCCACGAAACGACAGAAATGACACCGACACAGTCGATCGGCGGGGGCAAGGGAGTGAGGGGGGAGAGAATGGCAGGCTGCGTGTGCAAGGAAGCGAGAAGGAGAGGCGAGGTCCGAGGCCGGACCGGACCAGACTACGACTACGACCACAACTACCACCACGGCTACGACCGCGCTCAGTCGTCGTCCTCGGTAGCGTGGTAGCCGGCGCGCCGCATGGCGCCCAGCACCCTTCTGGCCTGGGTGAGCTCCTTTTCCAGCTTGAGCACCTCGACCTGCTGCTCCATCTGTGACGTCGCACAGCGAGCGAGCGAGCGAGCGAGCAGGGAAAAGCGTACAGGTAGACGCGAGCGCAGGGTGCAGCGAAATGGGGACGAGGGTCAGCCTCGGATCCTGCGCCTTCGCTGGGCCGCTCTACCGCCCCGCCCCGCGGCCACGCCACGCCACTCACCTCCTTGACCTTGAATTCGTGCACGGCCATGGTCGAGTAGTCTGCGTCGGCGGCGCCGTTGGACTGCTTGTCGGTGATCGTCTTGACCTGCTTGACGAGGGCGCGGCACGCCTCAGTGACGGCCTTGGCGGCGCGCTCGAGGCGGTCCTGGGTCTTGCTCATGAACTCGGCCTTGACGCGCGACGCGGCGACGACCTGGGCCGTGGCGGCGCTCACCTCGTTGGAGGCGACAATGAGCTGCTCGAGGCTGTGCGTGCCGCTGATGACGCCGTCGGCGGCCTCGATGAGCATCGTCGTGGCGAACGCCACGGCGCGCGCCGCCGAGATGAGGCCCTCGGTCCAGCGGTTGTTCTTCTTGTAGAACTGCTGGTTGGTCGAGCTGCCGCGCCCCTTTGCCACAATCTCCTGCTGGCTGTCGGTGGCGGCGCGGATGAGGCCGGCGATGGCCTTGGTAATGGCGAGCGACGCCTCGAGGATGGCGTCGTGCACCTGCAGGTCGACGGCGCTGAACCTGGAGCTGTCCCGCGGGCGCGACAGGAGCGCCTGCAGCTTCTGCGTCGCCGCGTCAATGGCCGACGCGGCGCTGAGCATCTCGCGCTCGACAATGTCGCCAATGTCGCCGTTGGCGTTCTTGAGCATCGAGTTGCCCGCCTTGACCATGCCCTCGACGACGGTGTTGAGGTTGCCGAGCGCCGTGCGCGCCTCCATGTTCTGGCGCGCCACGGCGTCGCGGCGCGAGGCGGGCGCGATGCCGGCCAGGCGGTACGACTGCAGGTTGGCAAAGAAGCGCAGCAGCACGTCGCCCGCCTCGCGGCCCGTGCGCACCAGGCGGTCCTGGGCGTCGTCGCTCTGGGCGAGGCGGGTGATGCCCTTGACGCTGAGCAGCGTGTCGCTGATGGTCTGGGCAAACTGGTTGGCGCGCTTGATGACCTCGACGTGCTCGCCGCCGGCCTCGCCCGAGAGGTAGAGGCTGAAGACGGTGGCAAACTCGTTGGACTCGGTCGAGCCCTTTTCGATCATCGACAGCACATACTCGGGCGTGGCCGTCGTGTTGCCCGACTGGGCCGGCGACTCGAGCTCGTAGATGGCGTCGTCGACCTTTTCCACGCACGCCTGGAGGATCGAGTCGATGATGGCGTTGAGCTTCTTGGTATTGTCGAGGATCAGGGTGTCGATCTGGGCGTTGACGGCCTCGTCGGTGACGCCCTGGTTGAGCTGCAGGTCGCTCATCTGCTTGATGGTGGCGTCCATGCCCTCCTGCATGATGGCCAGCTCGGCGTCCTTTTCCTCGCGCAGCCGGGCGATCTCGTCGTCCTTGGCGTCGAGCTGGTGGAGCAGCTGGTCGGCGCGGTCGCGCTTCTCGCGCAGCGCCTCCTCGAGCTCGGAAATCTGGCGGTTGAGCGTGCCCATCATGCCCGACAGCTCGGAGCTCTTGGCGCGCGTGGCGTCCTCGGCGCGCTCGTTGGCAAACATGAGGTCGCGCTTGAGGCGGTCCATTTCCTCCTTCTGGCTGGCCTTGATCCGGTCCAGGTCGAACCGCGCCCGGTCGCGCTCGCGGATCATGTCGGCCAGCTCGAGGTTCTTGGCCTTGACGTCGCGCTCCATCCGCTCCATCTTGTCGACCGCCTCCTGCGCGCTCCCCGCCTTGATCTGCATCTGCTTGTACTTGGCGAGCATCTCGAGGTGCTCGGTGCGCAGCTGGCTGTAGAGCTTGGCCAGCGCCTCGTACTTGTTGCGCCACAGCGTCACCTGGTCCTGCAGCTGCTTGATCAGCTCGTCCTTGCCCGCCATCTGCGCGCCGACATTCTGGCCGATGCTGCCGAGCTCGTTCTCGAGCGCCTTGACGCGCCGGTCGTACTGCTCGAGCATCAGCTGGTCGCGCTCGTACTGGCCGCGCATCGCCAGGATCTCGCGCTCGAGCTCGGCGAGGCGGCCGCCCTGCATCTGGTCCATCTGGGCCCGCATCAGCTGCTCCTGGGCCTGCCGCTGCTGCTCGGCCTGGAGGCGCTGCTGCTCCTCAAATTCGCGCTGCTGCTGCGCCGCCAGGTCGGCCTGCCGCTGCCGTTCGGCCTCCTCCTGCGCCTTGAGCGCCGCCTGCTTGTCCTCGTACTGCTTGAGCAGCCGCGCCTGCTCATCGATCTCGGCCTGCGACGGGCCCGCAGGCGCCGGCGAAGGCGCCTTGGGCGTCTGGCGCGGCGGCAGCAACGGGCCCTCGTCGGGCAGGTCAAACAGGTTGGGAGGGTCGTGGTTGAGCTTGGGCACGTTGATGAGGCTGGTGAGGAACTTGAGGTTGGCGCACTCGTAGTAGAACTTGCGGAGGCTGTAGTGCTGGCTGTTGTAGCGTCCGCGCAGCGGCTCGAGGGCGTCGCTGGCGTCGGTGCGGCGGTGCATGGCTCGCAGCATCGAGGTGAGGAACTTGTAGATGCCGTAGCTCTCCTTGACGAGCGGCACCAGCGACGAGATGCGGCACTCGTTGTTGGCCGAGCCGCGGAAGTGGGCAAAGACGAGCTTCTGGAACGACTCGATCTGGTCCTGGAGGTTCATGAGGTCCATGATGGTCTCGTAGCCCTCGTCGGGGTTGTCGATGTTCTTGAGCGAGATGTACTCCTCGTACTCAAAGAGGCCGTTGAACTCCTTGTGGTGGCGGTGGAAGCGGAGCTTGGCGAGGATGAAGTTGACATAGGCGCGGATGAGGGCGGCGTAGCCCTTCATGCTGTCGGCGCCGACGGTGCGGGCGCACGTCTCGAACCAGCCCATCTGGGCCTGGGCCTCTTTGAGCGCGCACTGGTGGCCCTCCTGGAGCACCTTGTGGACGAGGATGAGCGCCTTGAACGTCTGCACCTCGTCGCTCAGGATCGGCTGCACCCGCAGGCCCGTCCAGATCGACTGCGACGTGTGGTAGTCCCACGTATAGACGATGCATTCTGCGGGCAGGGGGGCGCGCAGCGAGGCGAGTCGGGACCAAGAAACGGGTCGGTTCAGCGGCCTGCATGAACGAGACTGACGCCTCTCGCACTGTGAGGAGAGGGGGATAGCCATCGAGAAAGCGGCGGCGGACGGCACTCACTCCGGACATGCTTCTGCTTGGGCGCCGTCTCGTCTGGGTTGGTGGCCTTTTTGATGTTGAGCGAGAGCTCCGACTCGGCCTTGTCGCGGTCCACCGGCCGCGTTGGCAGGTGGTCCTCGAATCGTGGCCTGACCACCGAGGTGAAGGAGAAGTCAGGGGGCAAGGAGATTGGCGCAATCAGCATGCAGGGTTGGAAGGGCCACTGGCGCAGGATGGCAGGCGAAGGGACCGAGGTATGTCTCGTTGAGGTCGACTGGGACTCACATTGCGGAATCAGAATCGGAGCCTCTACCGCTCGCCCGTTGGCTTTGTGCCGTGTGTCGGTGCCTCTAGCGAGCAGAGAGAGCGTAGGCGAGTGAGCGTAGACGCTATGGATGCAGTCTCTCTCGGTCGTGCTACGGATGGATTGCCGGCCGAAGAAGGGTGGTGTCGTGTCTGGTCGTCAAGCCGTGGTCGGAAAGGGCGAGTCGGCGCGGCGGGTGGGGCTGTGGCCAGTCGGATGTGTGTCGCCGGTCGGATGCGCAAGATGTGAGAGTTCGATGAAGGCAGGAGGGGCGGTGGGAGTAGGAGGGGATCCGGGATGATGGCGGCGAGAGATGGAGAGAGAGGGAGAGGTGGAGCAACGAAGGCCGAGCGGAGCGGTGGGCCTGCCGTCGTCGGCCCAGCAGGCAGGCAGGCCAAGCCGCCCGCCCGCCCGCTCTGGCTGCCGATGGAGGGGGACGCCGCTCGGCCCATCAGAGGCCGCTCAACCTGCCCGGCCAGGCCTCTGGCTGCCCGCCATTAACCCCCACGCGCTTGGACCAGCCGCCGCCGCCTCGAGGCCAGCCCAGGGTCACGACCAGGCCAGGCAGGCCCTGCTTCTGCCCTGCCCGACTCCCGCACTCTGCCAACAGCGCAGCACAGCCAGCACGGCCAGCACGGCCCAGCCCTGCACAGCCTCATCCAGCAAACAACGCCTGCCTGTCCCGCCTTTCAGCACCACCCACACCGAGCCTCGTCTCGCCTCGTTGGCCATCGTCGCACAGGCTAATTCCTCACGTGCTCATGATCGTGTGTGACGATATCGCACCATCGGTCGTTGCAACAGTGGAAGTGTGAGCGCGCAAGGGGCGGGGCCCGTCAGGCACCACCAGACTAGCGATACGCGCCCGGCGGCAGCTCGTTGCGATCGAGGACCTCCTGCTGCGCCAGGTCAAAGTGGATCCACTCCTCGAGCATCACATAGCAAGTCGCAAAGGGCCTGTCATTCAGGGATCGAGGGGACAGTCCAGCAGCGGACGCGAAGCGGAGGGGAGGTCAGTTACCTCGCTCTCGCAGAATGCAGCAGCGGCAAGGGCTCGATCGCCATCGGACTCACGCCATGGGCAGGTAGGTCAGGACGAAGCGCACGACGAGCATGCTCCCGTGGAAGCACCCGTAGATGCTGGCGCAGCAGCCTACCGCGGCGCTCAGCAGCATCGACGCCTCGTCGTCGTCGTCGCCGCCCGCACCGCCTCCAGGCTCGCCGGCTTCAGCGCCCAGCCCAGCAAAGGCGTTGGTCGGCGGATCGGCGGGCGCGTGCGCATGGTTGTCGGCATCGATACCTTGGTCCTCGCCGCCATCGTCCTGCTGCGACGCCGACGGCAGCGTCGACAGCGGCCAGTAGCCGCGCAGCACCTCGTACGCCCGCCGCAGCGCGTCGGCCGCCACGGACGGCAGCGCACGCAGCTTCAGCACGCAGCTACCCAGCAGCCGAATCAGGTCCGTCGTCGACCGCACCGCCTGCTGGTAGAACTGCACCAGGCTCGTCTCCCACGCGAAGCTCATGGCCGCACCGAACGCCGCCACCACCGTCACGAGGCAGCCGACGGCGATGATGGTCGCCCACCGGCTCTCGCGCGGCAGCGTGGCCAGCCGCACCGGCCTCACCCTGCCCGGCAGCAGGCGGGCGTCCTCGCGCTCGAGGAACATGTCGTACCGCGTCGTCCGCGCCTGGTCGGCGTCGCCCAGCATCGCCGCGAGCATGCGGCGGTAGCCCTCGGCGGCGCTCCGGTCGTGCTGCACCCAGTCGGCGCGCTTCCACCACCGCGTGTGCCGCTCCCGGAAGCGGTGGGCGCGCCCGCTGACGTTGCCCAGCAGCAGAAAGACGAAGTCGACCAGGCTCGTGCCAATCGGCCCAAAGATGGGGCCCAGCTGCGACAGCTCGACGCGCTCGGCCGACGAAAACGTGCGCGGTCCCAGGTAGGTCGAGAGCGGCAGGCCGCCCCACCAGTTGAGCCAGTAGAGGCCGAAGACGGTCGTCGACGCAAACGACAGCGCCTCGCGCACCCGCCACGCCCAGCGGCGCGACCGGCTGCGCGGCGGGCCCAGCAGCACCGCATTGGGCGGCAGCGGCGGCGCCGCCTGGAAGTGCTCGTCGATAAAGGCGATGGTGGCGGCCACGACGACCTTGGAGAGCGTCCAGACGACCTCGCGCCTCGACTCGCACACGAGGATCGACAGCAGCACCGCGCACCGCGTCATGGCCGTCCACAGATGCGCCGGCACTTGTGCGAAGCTGTGCAGCCGCTCGCTGACGATGATGTAGAGGGCGTAGGGCACGAAGCGCAGCGGCCCGGTCCACTCGGGCATTCTGCGGACCAGGATGTGCTGCGTCGGGTCGGCGCCAAAGGTCTTGGCGCTCATGAAGTTGTACGAGATCGACAGCTCCGGACCGCCCTTCTTGCGCTTCGACGCGGCGCCTGCGTCCTCGGCCCCGGCTTGCTGGTCAGTGGGCCCGTCCGAAGCGCCGCTCTGGTCGTCGCTGGCGGCACCTTCCTCGGAGCTCTGTGGCGATGCGTCGGTCGGGGTGTGGTCGCCGACGTGGCCCGACCACATCTGCATGAGCCGCTCCGTTAGCGCCTGGGCGAAGCCGACGGGGTCCAGCGACGACGTCGTCGACTTTTTGGTGCGCGGACCCCCCTCGCTCTTGCCGTCGGAGCCCGCCGGGTCGCTGTGACCACGGCGGCGGATCTTTTTGTCGAGGTACTGACCGCCCTCGTCGCGCACGCTGAGCAGGTCGTCCTCGTCGAACTCATCGTCGTCGCCCGTCGATGACGCCGCGTGCTCGGCCTGGACCAGGTCGTCGCCCCGTGCGGCGTCGTGCTCCTGCTGCGCGCGCCTGTACGCCGCCCACTCGTCGCCGTGCTCGGTCTTGATCTTCTGGATGACGTCGAGGGACGCGCGGATCATGAGCTCCTTCCTCGAGCCATAGATGCCCTGGACCTCGTCAAAGGTGGAGTCGAAATTGACCGTAGCCTCGTAGGCGTCCTTGGACAGGGTGATGTTCCACGGCGGCTTGGGGGGTTGCAGCAGCTCGAGGGCCGCCGTGCGGATCGGATCGAGGCGGGTCCCCTCGAACGCGGCCACGCCGTAGAGGGCCGCGGTGCCGATGGTGCCGGAGACGACGACAAAGGCGGCGACGACGACGAAGGAGATGAGGATCTTGAGGGGCTGGCTGGCCTGGAGGAAGGCGGCGACGGGCGTCCAGGGCGACGTGGGGAAGAGGTAGCGGCTCGAGCACTGGCCGCACACGCGCGCCGCCTCGCTGGAGCGCGACTTGTGTCGCCACTGCGAGAGGCAGCTGGCGTGGACGTACTTCATGCTGCCGCGGCAGCGGCAGGGCGAGATGAGGCGGCCCATCGAGGTGCCGTCGTCGTTGAGCTCGTGCTCGTCGGCGAAGCAGAGGCGGCAGATTCGCTCGTTGCCCTCGGCATCGCGCTCCGGGGCCGGGGTGGGCGAGCGGTGCCTGCGACGCTGCTCGATCTGGGCCTTGATTTCGGCCTCCGCTGCCGCTGCTGCCGCTCTTGATCTGCTCGACGATGCAGAGGAAGAAGTCGATGGGCCAGCGGTGGGACCGTGCCGTTCATCGGCTTCATCATCGTCGTGGCTATCCCGGTCATCTAGGGGCAGGGGAGCGGGTTGTCGATCCCAGTGTTCGCGCGCAAGTTCGCGGAGCCGGTCGTGCGTCGATGCCCAGAGGCTGGGAGGCTGCGCAGCGCCGAGGAGCCGCTCAACCTCGGCCTCGTCGGTCCTGTCGGTCGCCTCTCGTGCAGCACCGTGGGGCAGAGGAACCACACTTCCGTCGTCGTAGCGGCGGCGCGGGCGAGTATCCGTCTCCATGCTGGGCAGCAGCGAGGCGCCGCAGGGGATTGCGTCGGCGTGGTCGCGGTCGTGAGCCAAGGTGGTCGGTCGGGGCGGCTCAGATGCAAATGGCCCCGTCCGTCATGGTATCTCGGTATCGTTTCGAGCTGGGCTGCTCGTCGTAGCAGGCTGTGACTGACAGTGTTAGGTATGCCTTGACGGGAGTAAGCTCGCTCGTGTGTCTTCGATGGCGGTAGTGAAGGTGCAAGGCGGTGCAGTGGCATGTCGGTAGCAAAGAAAGGACGAGGGACCGGAGGTGCTCGACTGACGCCCGCCAGACGCCGAAGTGGAGCAGCCAAGCCCCTCGCTCGCTCGCCCACGCACGGCCCGCCCCGCTCTGCTCGCTGCCACCCACCGCCACCCCCGTAGCCCCGCCGGCCCCGCCCGACCTGGCTGGCAACGAGCGACGCCTCCCATCTGCCTCCTGCCACTCCCCTCTGCCGCGGCAGACAACATCCCAAAAGCCAGCTTCGAGTCCACGCTGACAACAAGCGCGCTGAGGTCACAATGGGCCCGCAAAAGCCAGAGTGAGGGCACCAGCTCGCGTGCACCCCTAGCCTGGGCCAGGCCTGGCCAATTTCGACCCGCATTTCGCGCCGCTTTTCCTTCACCACGAGCGACTGAGCCCAACGAGCTGGTCGAATCCATGTCTCGATCGCAGCCTGTTCGTCGGGATGATCATGAATCCACATCACGCCGTGCCGTGTCGTGCCGTGCTGGCTGGCTTCGTACAAACAGACGCTACAGCTCCCCC